TTCTAACACAACAGCTGGAAACTGTACTTGGGCAGATCCGTATCATTTAATTAAGTGAATATTAATTGTGTTTAAATTCCGTTTCATTTTGGAGTTGGCCCCATCTGCAGTTGCCTGATTGGGAGGAAAACATCTGGAGAGGATGCAGGATGGATGGACACACACACACACACACACACACACACACACACGCACAGACGGTGGATGGGATTAACTCATCTTTTTCACTTGCATGAACTGTCACCCTTAACAGGGAATATTTGGGGCTGGTGGACACATTGGCTTTTGAGAACATGTCATGTATAGCCTCACAGAACAGCTGCCACGGAGACATTGCCACACACTAATTGGTAACATGATGGGTATGGCATTCACCAAGCATCCATTCGTAAGTGCCCATTACCTTTCCTAGCCTCACATTTCTCAGAGGACATTTATGTTTTCTATGGGCAAAGGGGACGCTTCCAACGAAGCACTAAGCAGAGCCTCTTGCCCCAATGGCGTTCGGGAAATCAAAGATTTGGAAGAACCATCCGTTCCAGCTTCTGCTCAGGGAGAGAATCCAGGATAAGTCTTCCCTGACCATATGGCTTTCGAGCTTCTGCTTGAACCTACCCAACGAAGGGGATCCCATCACGTTTCTGGATCATTAGCTTCATTGTCCAACTTTTGTTCCAGTTAGGAAGTTTGTTCTGCACTTTGGCTAAAATCTCAAGCCCTCCCGTTTTTTATCACTCTTACATACTGGAATGCTAGAGGAACAGGTTGCGTGCAACACTGCAGGTATTGGGGGGGAAATGCGATAGTATTTCCATTCTGTTCTTTTTTCCTAACAGGAAAGACCAAATGGTCTTTGGTCACACAACAACCTTTATAGTTGTCTGATCCTCCCGATTGTCCTTCTCTCAACTTGTTTTGCTTTCTTTGTAACTTTTCAAAACTATAGTGTCCTCATACTGTATATTTTTGAAAAGATTTGTATTTGTTGTATGCAATAGTATACATCGCGGTTCACTGACAAAAGCGTGCCGACAAAACCCGCGGTGAGAAAACCGCGACGTTGAAATCGCGCCAAGTGTGCCGACAACAGCGCGCCGACAAAAGCGCGCCTTCAACAAACAACACGAAAACAACGTAATAACCCTAACCCTAACTCTAACCCTGAACCTAACCCTAACCCTTACCTTAACCCTAATCGTGCTTTTGTGGGCACGGTTTTGTCGGCGCGCTGTTGTGGGTGCGATTTTGACATCGCCGTTTTCTCGCCGCGGTTTTGTTGGCGCGCTTTTGTCGTGTGCGCATTTGTCGGGTCACGATACATCGCAGAAGGAACAGGTTCTGAGCCATGTAGAAGAATGCTTCCTCTGCTTTTAGAAACAAAGATGAGGCTAGAAGGTGGACACTTGATTTTGCAGTACTCTATAGGTACTCCTCACCTTACAACGGTGTGTTTAGTGACCGTTAATGTTAAAACGGCACGGAAAATATGACCATTTTTCACATTTATGACCATTGCAACATCCCCATGGTCAACTGATTTACGTTCAGATGCTTGACAACTGACTCATATTTGTGACGGTGGTAGTGTCCTAGAGTCATGAGATCCTTTTGTGATCTTCTGACAAGCAAAGTCAGTGGGGGAGTCTGATTCTCTTAACCCCCGTGTTATTAATTTAACAACAGCAGTGATTCACTTAACAAATGTGGCAAGAAAAGTCGTGAAATGGGGCAAAACTCATCAAATTTCTCACTTAGAGAGATAAATTTTGGCCTCAATTGTGGTCCTAAATTGAGGATTCCCTGGGTTGTTTGAATTAAAACAAACTTTCTTAAAACAAAGGTGAGGCGGGGCAGGATGCCTGACTTGTCACAAGTGTGGTAATAATAGCACAACAAACCAAAGGGTATCACTTTCTCAGTGACGTGCGGTGGGGTTTATGGCTGGTGAGGCACTGACACAGGGGTTTCAAATTTTTTTAGACTTGTGGACTCAATTCCCAGAATTCCACAGCCAGGCATGCTCAGTTCCGATTTAAAGCGACAGCATTTGTTTTTCTCCTTTGCGAAAGAAGTTTCCTTCATACTTTTTCTTCTCCCTCCCTCCCCCCTCTCTCAAACAGACACACAGACACAGATAAGTTGGATTGGACTATCTCCTTCCCTCTCTCACTCACTCACTCTCTCTCAAACAAACACAAATACAGAAGTTGGATTGGAGCCGATCCGAGCCTTTGATTGCAGGTGGAGCCAGTTGCCTTTTCAAACTTGTAATCAGTGAAGCTAGGCTTATATAGTTTTATCCAGTTGTGTGTGTGTGTGTGTGTGTGTGTTTGAAAAGGCAACGTGG